GGCCCCCCCCCCCCCCCCCCCGAAGTTCCCAAAGGCAAAAGGGAGTCTGAGGGAGCCCTGGAATGTTTCATTAGCTCTGGTACAAAGTATGATGTTTCCAAGATGGCAGGAGCAGAACCTAGAGGACAGGGTACTCCAAAGCAGATGAATGATGTTCTTGAGGTTTAGCCCGTAAGTGCTAAAGTAGTTAGTCTATAAATTGAGAATTTTTTTTCTTTTCTCTCTCTCTCTGCTGGAAGAAAACCAGATAAACTACTCAGCCTGTCTCCTAAACAATCTAATAGAAAGAGAAGTATGTTCTAGTCCACGAACACATAACTATATTAACTCAAGACTCTTACAAACAATAGTAACAAGTGTGGAGTTCTCTCAGCAAGTTATATCAGGAAAAACTTTACATTCAGCGGCCTATGTTAGCTTGCAGATACAGTGGACCCTTGACTTACAGACGGCTTGACTTACAGACTTTTTGAGTTACAGACTTCTCTGGCCGCAAAATTTAGGTTTGACTTGCAGACTGAGATTTGACTTACAGACCAGAAAAAAAACAAAATGGAACAAAAATGGCCTGTTACGGGATTAATCGGTTTTCAGTGCACTGTAGGTCAATGGAGACTTGACTTACAGACTTTTTGACTTGAGAACCGCCTTCCAATACGGATTAAGTTCTCAAGTCAAGACTCCACTGTATTTGGGAGACAGTAATGGCCACAATCCGGGAGGCAGTGGAAGACCGGAGGGCCTGGCATGCTCTGGTCCATGGGGTCATGAAGAGTCGGACACAACTAAACGACTAAACAACAACAAAAGTGGCCACAATAATATTATTTGCTCTGGTTCATTTGGCTGTAGGATGAAAATGTATACTGTAACCTCTTTTTAGATATTTTGTTATGAAATCTTTGTAGAGGTCTTATGACTCATGTGAGAAAGACAGGCAGGAGCTTTATTTTTTTCCCTTTCTAATAAGAACAGTAGTGATATGAAGCTAAGTAATGAACGGGCAAGGGGCCCCCCAAAAAGGAGAATAGTAAATAATTTCTGTGTATTTCCTATCTAGAAAACCCTGGAAAGTGTGACCATAGATAGGAATCATCCTGACGGCATATTTGCTCTGGTTCATTTGGCTGTAGGATGAAAATGTATACTGTAACCTCTTTTTAGATATCTTGTTATGAAAGCTTTGTAAAGGTCTTATGACTCGTGAGAAAGACAGGCAGGAGCTTTATTTTCCCCCTTTCTAATAAGAACAGTAGTGATACAAAGCTAAGTAATGAACAGGCAAGGGGCCCCCCCAAAAGGAGAATAGTAAATAATTTCTGTGTATTCCCTATCTAGAAAACCCTGGAAAGGTTGACCATAGATAGGAATCATCCTGACGGCACAAAATTACAGAATTATAATTCTTTCTAGATACAACTAAGTCCAGTGCCATCTGGTGATTAAACTATATAGTGACATGCCGCAAGGGGGAAATGGTAGCCAATTAATCACTTCTAGCAAGCCTCCAGCAAGTGTAGGTCAGTCTTCGTGCACTAGAAAATGCATTATTTTGTCAATGCACTCTGTGGTCATTTTTGATGCTACTCTTCATAGTGCTTAATTCTGTGCATGCCAAATGGGAAGCAAGCTCCACTGAGTTTAGTGGGCCCTACTTCCAAATACGCACTGATAACATTGCAGTCCATTGGTCTTCTATTTAAGTGAAAAGGCAAAGTAGTTTTCCATCACAATCAGTTTTTTTAAAAATGGTTTAGCTCAAGCTAACCCTTTCTGACTTTGCTCTGGGTTATGAAATTTGGTTTTGTTTTCTCCAGTGGGAAAAAAGCTAGCAATGCTGCAAGAGACTGAGAAGCTGTTTGTTTCATTCGGTCAGCAGGCACGTCCCCCCAGCATCTAATTCATTTACAACTGATGCCATTACAGTGGTACCTCAGAAGACAATGACCCCGCTAAATGACGAATCCGCATAACGATGACTTTTTACGATCACTATAGCCATTCGTAAAACAGTCATTCCAATGTGGGATTTTCACTGGATGTCGATTAGGTTTGTGCTTCGCGAACCGTTTGTTCACAAGATGATGATTTTTTTCGGCTTCGCAAAATGGCTGCCCTGTGTTTTCCGGACCCATATTTCGCAGGGCAGCCATTTTTACAGCTGATCAGCGCTCGCAAAATGGCTTCCCTATGGCCGATCTTCGCTGGACGAGGAGGTATTTTCCCCATTGGAACACATTAAACGGGTTTCAGTGCATTCCAATAGGGAAAGGGTTTTCACATGACGACGGTTTTGCTAAACAGCAATTTCAATGGGACAGATTATCGTCGTCATGTGGGGCACCACTGTATCATTACTCACTCCTTTGGTGGATAACAGAGGAAGCAGTAACGAGACATGCCACGAATGCATCAGTTCTTAGTCCAATGGATGATATTGCTGCTGTTACTGATAATTATCTAAAATGGCTTGCAGGAGTTCTGTTCTATTTTAAACTTGAAAATAGTGGATGCATGCCACTCAGACCAGGTTGAGATCCTTCTCCAAAAATTGCAGAAGCAAGGAAATGTGGGAGACTTAATTAAAAACTGCCTAAGGATGCTCTGGGCACTTCAGGAAACTAAGGGTAGCCTGTCTCACATTGACATGAAACAGTCAGAGGGGCACTGTTCTATTTGCCCTCCCCCAAAAATCCCCCATCAAAAACAAAAACGACCCCCCCCACACAATTTTTTTAAGTCTAGCAGTTTCATGTCAAATTATTCAATGCAGTTTTTCTTATCAAGGAATGTAATCATGTAATGAAAAAACAACACACCAGTCTTATATTACTCAAAATTGTTCCTAAATGTAAACTATGGATTTAACCATGATCAGATGGCAACAAAGTTGGCTGGCAACAGCCATGGCTACTTGATTCATGTCAAAGTAAATTATCATTGTTGCAAGTGTGGAAGTGAATGTGGGGCCTATAAAATATTACTGACCACCAAATCAGCAAGATTCTGTATACCCCATACTCATTTGAAATTTGGTTTCACATCACAGTATTTGTTGTTTAAAGGATATATGGTGGTACATTTATCACAAGGGAACAACTTCTTTTTAATCATTGTCAGACATCTGGGGTTCTATTAGAAAATATCAGTTTATAAATTTGAAATCAGATTATATGTTATATAAATGAGAAACAATACAAAAATAATTGAATTTATATGTGTTATCAAGTGTTATGTTTCGTTTACAATATATATGATGTATGCTGTATATATAACATGAAAAATATGTCTGTGCTAATGTGATGTTAAAGCTGGACATTGTGATGGCTATGTAATTTGTAAAGTGAACAAATATACCGTATTTTTCGCTCCATAAGACGCACCTTTCCATAAGACGCACCAATTTTTTAGGAGAAGAAAACAGAAAAATATAATCTGTTTTCTTCGCTCCATAAGACGCATAGACTTTCCACCCCCCTGTTTTGTGGGGGGAAAAGTGCGTCTTATGGTGCAAAAAATACAGTACTCACACTAGCTTATTATTTTTAATTCATTTTGCTTCTGCTTGAAATGTGGGTGAGTGAGGGCAGGGGGGAATTTTTGCAAGGCACAGAAGGCTTTTCTTTTTTAGGTGTAGATATGCTAGCAATGTACAGTAATAACCAACCAGGGGTTGGATCAATACCCGGACATATTCGGATAGTTGATGCCCACTGGGACCTGCCCCCCAATCCCTCCTCACTGTTGCTCTTCTGTAGCCCCATTGTCACTGGTATTGTAACCACCATTAATTTTCTTAAATCAAGTTAGCCAGAATCAGCATTTTTTAGATATACAGTAAGCAACTGGAGTTGTGTTGCCACTGTGGCATGTTCCCCACAATGAAATCCAATCCCTCCTCACTGTTGCTCTTCTGT